TGAAGAAATGCGGTGTACTAGGTGTCTGTGTGGTGGGACGCCGGTCGAGGGCACTCACCGTGAATGGAGCTCGCAGGGTGGGAGGTGGCACCGGGTGAGTCTGTGAGTTCGTAGTCAGGGCTCAGTGACTGTGGAGGCCTGGCACGTGACCGTCCACTACTGTACGTTTTATAGCCTGGACACACTAAGGCCGACTCCCTTAAACTTTTCCGTTCGGGTGTAGGTGGCGGCATCGGGAGCGGCGGCATCGGGAGCAGCAGCGGGAGGGAGCGGCGACATCAGGAGCAGCGGCCGGAGGGAGCGGCGACATCGGAGCGGTGGACAGAGGGGTGGCATCGGAGCGGTGGACAGAGGGGGCGGTGGCATCGGGACGGCGGCCAGAGGGTACGGCGGCAGAGTGGGCGAGGTGCGGATCACATCATTCTTATCAACCGTACACTAGCGCCCGCATAGTACAACTCACCGAATGAGGGTCTCTAGCACAAAGTGGCGGTCCCTTTGCCTCCAGATGAAAAAGGGGCCTTTCTCTAGGCCGGGTAATCGAGATCTCCAAGTTTGCGTTTGACCCTGGTGATGACGCGCCCGCCACCTTTATAGCCACGGGGGCGGGCGGGGCGCGTCCGCCAAGCCCGCACCTGCACACTGCTCGGGCGCTCTCCGGGCGCAGCAACGTTGAGCCCTGGGGGCGTCCCTCCTGTTTGTCCCTGCTCCTGACTCAGGACCCACGTGAGGGGTGGGGACAGCATGACGTGCACCTTCCCCGGCCCATCCCCTAGGATGGGCCTTCATTGAGCCCTCCCCAAAGCGTGTCCCCCATCAGGGCCTGCCCCTCTCCTCTCCGCCAGCCGTCCTCCCAGCCCGCCACCCGCTTTGCCTGCCTCCCGCCTCTCTGCCCAGCGGCGGACAAAAAGCGCCCTCGGATGGTGATGGCGGCCGGCCAGTCGGTGAACTGGACTCTCCCCTGAGAAGAAATGAAATGTCTAGCCTATTTATGTTACTACACAGGTGCACCAGCGCACGCGGCACAGCGCCCATAGACAACCCGCTTATTCTCATTTTGGGCCCATCTTTCTTCACTGATCTCCCACAGAGTCCGTAGCCCCAAAGTCAAATAAGGTCCCCAGAACCACACTCACAGCCACCAGCAGTCCCGAATGCAGGGGAGGGGAAACAGAAAATCCACCTACCCTTGCCGCTGGTCTCCGGGCTGCTCCGGTGGTCTCAGCCTCCAGTTCTCCTCTGCAGCCTCCTCCCTTGGAGTTTCCCGGAGTCTCAGGTACCCCTCCTTCCGGCCCTTGTCCGCTGTATGCTCGTCTTCTTGCTTTTTTTCTCTAATTTCTGCTAGAATCTGTCTTTTCTGCAGAGACACTCTGTCTGGCGGTGTTATTCGTCCGCCATCTTGCTCCGCCCCTCTTTATGGTTTTTGATCTATAAAATAATGTCATCTGTAAACAGTGCTATTTTCCCTTTTTCCTTTCTAATTTGAGTGGATCTTGTCATGTTCCTGCCAAACTTTTCTGCTTAGATCTTCTAGTAATATGATAAAATAGTAGCATTAACAGTGGTTGCACATTATGCTTATGGTCTTATGTGTTATGTGTACATATGTAGGATTAAATAACATTTACAGTTTTTATAAACTGGTTTTGAAAGGTAAAGATTTTTTTCTTTGAGTACTTGGGCTAAAGGTATGCTCACTGGGTTTTCAGAGTTTCTGTAGCTAGGTCAAAAGACTGCCCCTTGTTCTGCAGTGGAGTCTGCATCTGGTGGGGCAGTCCCAAAGAATTTGGGTGGTTTTCAATCCTCTCTTGTGTCTGGGAAAACTAGTTGCCTTCATTATTTTGATCTGTGACACATACTAGGGCATGGTGGTGCATTTCAGTCTGCATATTTTAGGGCTAATACCATAAGTGTGGGTGGGCGTGGCTCCCAATGAGTACCTTGGAAGAGTCCCTGCAGGTCACTGTGTGGATCTATGCCCTGAAAGAACTGGATATGGACTATAGTTCAGACTGCTGTAGCAGAGTCACAGTTCTGCTTTACAGATGATAGCAAGACCAAGTTATTCAGGTCTGCCTCCATGGCTGCAGATAGCTGTGTCTCTCCCAAAGTCTCCGGATGAGCAGCACCACTCCCACTTTGTCACAGGGAACCATTGGAGACTCTGTGTATCCGAGATGGTTGACCCATGTTGCAGTCTGTATTTCAG